GTCACACTGTACCCCTACAGAACAGAGATCACTGGGTTCACACTGTGACCCTATAGTCCAGAACCGCGATCATATCCTGCCCTGTGAGATTCTGAGTGATGTTTTTAAAACCGGATGTTATTCAAAATTTAAAGAGAGATTTAAAAGCTGAAATTCCTGTTACAGCCCCTGAGGCCACAATATTAGCCAGGCTCTGCTCTGCCAAATTCCTCAGCCCAATTCGCCTGCATGCACCTGTCAGGACCCTGCTCCAGATCTGCAGATGACCGCCGAGGAGGCCAGGAAGCCCAGGCTCACTGCGGCACAGGCCTGGCCAACAGGGGAAAAGGGTTGGGAGTTTATACTGAATCTGTGCCTGTTTTCCATCCGCGGTGGCTGCTGGGAAGAGCTAAAACAGCAGCGCGTGGTGGGAGGAACCGAGCTGAAACCAAAAGAAAAGATCACTCCGTACACGCAAGGATGACTTCACCCAGAGGACGGCAAGTACATCACCAGCTCAGGAAGCATGACATCACAACTCTGACCCTGGTTTCATCCCAGCACAGATGCTTGCTGTTCAGAAAGTGTGCCTGGCCACAAGTCAGCCCTCCATCAGGCAAGCCTCAGCAGTGCAGGCAGTTCGTGTCCTGGAGCAGCTCTCTGGATCCTGATCAGTCCTTCCTGCGTTGCTCGAGCCGGTACCAGGGATGGAATGAGCCAGTGACTTTACTGCTGGGAGGTTCGGGAGAGACCGAGAACAAGTCCCAGCAGCTTGATTCCTTTCCATGTTCTGGGTTTCCTGTTGCTCCTGTGCTCCACTTCACTGGGACACCATGATAAATCAAAGTTGATATTTGCGTTCATATAAATAAGCCCACAGACTCTAAATTACTGCTGCCCTAGCCATTTGCCAAAACGTTTTTTTCTTTCTTAGTCAACGCTTTCGGGATGGATCGATGGAGAGGTACAAACACGGCAGACTAGGCTGTCCCAGCTCTTCACTGGGAACGCTGGACCTTTTTCCCACCCTTTCCAGGGTTTCTGGATGTCGCTGGTTTAAGCTCCAGTTCCTGCTTCTAGTAAGTTATTAACATTCTCATTCTCCAACATTTGAAAAGGATCGGGTCTGGGGTTCGATGCGACTTCCTGGCAGTAAGAGACTGGATGATGATCCACACAGGTGCTCCATTTGGAATCTCTTCTTCTGCAAGGAGCCGGTGGAACAGAGGGACAGCATCACCCAGTCGCCGTTTAACTCTGAAAGTAACGGTGATATGAGCTTCTCTTCCTTACACAAGCAGAGTGAACTGGACACAGGTCACAGGAAAGACACTATTCAGCCCACTTTTGGACACCAGTGGCTCCACGACGTCCAGGCCAAATTATCATTATTATTGTCTGTCCTACAGGGCTCCAATGATCAATCATTACAGACTTGGCAAGGGACTTATAACACAGCAAACCTGTCTCAAACTGGAGCACTTCATTTTATGATTACAGACACAAACACTTTTTTTTCTAATTCGTTTTTGTTGGCTCAGAAAGCATCAGATTTCAAGTAGCTTACAATTAGTCAATTTAAAATCTCCCAGCAGCTTCAGAGGGCGAAACAGTTAAAAAACATTTTTAATTCCTCTCTGTTCTGAAGTCCCGCAGAGCTATGCTAAAAGGACTAACTGAGAAAGTTAACCAGAACAGTGTGTTGGCCACAAGCACGTTTTACTCCAAGTGTTAAATATGTTCACATGCCCAGATTCTTTCAAACAGGACCCGGGACAACAGGCCACACGGGCGAGGTCATCCATCCCCAGTGACTGCAGACCACTGACCAGAGACCGCACCTCCAGGCCAGAGCAACACGCTTCTACACAGCTCTCCAACAGTCTGTTTGGACTTATTTCTGAGCAGAGGTGATTCAGGGGTCCAGAACTCTCTTGGGTACTGCCCCAGTCAGCCCAATGGACTGGTCCAGCACCAACACTGAAACACAAAGGGGTCACAGCCTCGTCATGTTGATAAAGCGGACTTTCAAGAAACCTCCGGATGAGACCCTGTGTTTAACCACCTGTTAGCAACTGGAAGAGCTAGACAGGTGGATTGGCAGTTCTTAGCTTTCAGTGTACCCCAAAAGAAGTATTCAGTCTGATTCTTTCTCCAAATTCTGACTCTGAGCTGGCTAGCACGATCAGACTGTGTTGCGTGTGTTTATCGGTGTTGATATAGGAGTGTTCCTCCTGTCCTTGTACGCAGGCAGGTCCGCCTGTTCTGGCCGAAGCACGCAGCCTGCCTGAGGAATGAGGAGCTCGAGTCTCAGCTTGTCTGCGACAGCCGAGATGCGACGCAAGAGACACTGAAAAACATTGCACTGCACGACATGAAAATGTGTTGCTCTGCTGCTGACTTCTCAATTCACCCCAAAGTTCAAAATAATATTATTTTTATTATTATAATTCCTTAAAGCTAGATAGCGCTTTTCTGGACACTCCACTCAAAGCTCTTTACAGCTCATGGGGATCCCCTCCACCCCCACCTGGATGATGCTCCAGTCCTCTCACACACAACAGCTCTCAGTGGGAGGAGAGCAGAGGGATGGAGCCAGTTCAGAGAGGGGGGCTATTAGGAGGCCATGATGGGTAAAGGCCAGGGGGGAGTTTGGCCAGGACACTGGGGTAACACCCCTACTCTTCTTGAGAGGCACCCTGGGATTGTTCATGACCACAGAGAGTCAGGACCTCGGTTTGACGTCTCATCCAAAGGAAAGCGCCTGTTTACAGTCTAGTGTCCCCGTCAGTATACTGGGGCATTAGGACCCACATGGACTGCAGGGTGAGCGCCCCCTGCTGGCCCCACTAACACCTCTTCCAGCAGCAGCCTTAGCTTTCCCAGGAGTCTCCCATCCAGGTACTGACCAGGTTCACACCTATTGAGATCCAGTGGGTTGCCAGTTGTGAGTTGCAGGGTGATATGGCTGCTGGCAGAAAATGACACAAAATTTGTCCGTCAATTACTGCGTGTTCACTAAACGAGCTCACCTGCAGCTCCGCAGAGGAAGCTGATCCCTGCCCTCAAGCAGTCTGGCAGCAAGGGAGTGCCAGTGCAAACAGAGCAGGAGACGCACAGTGCAGTGGGCACAGGACCTCCTCGGTCACGCCCACTGCAGGTTCAAACCCAGGGACACAAGGGATCTGATTTTAGGGTGCAGAGTAGCCTCATGCCTCATGAGGCACTTGAACCAACAACCTGTTATAAATAGTCCCCTAACCTCAACGCCCACTGCAGGTTCAAACCCAGGGACACAAGGGATCTGATTTTAGGGTGCAGAGTAGCCTCATGCCTCATGAGGCACTTGAACCAACAACCTGTTATAAATAGTCCCCTAACCTCAACTTAGCACTCCTACTGCCCCCTGCTGCTTAAGATAAAAAAGTGTGTTCTAGATAGAAAAGTGTGTTTAATTGAGTATTGAATCCATCACAGACTCAGAGTCACAGAACGCATTTGGGCTCCACATGAAAAAAAAGAAGACAGTGTCACACGATGCAGCAATCTGGTCCTGGGAGCAGGCAGCAAGACAGTACCAGACGAGTGCAGAGTACAACTGGGCAGACAGCTCAGCTCCAGCTGCCCGTACTGCCAGCAGTGCAGATGCTCGGGCTGTTCCCACTGTCTCACCATATACAGGGCAGGGAAATCATGGTAGAATCTCAGTAAAGCACAGTACAATCATGATCACAGCAAGGTAAAGACAATGTTTTACTAATCATTATGGTAGGCACAGAGTAAAATGTAGTTAGTTAAAGATTTGGAGCGGTTTGGTGGCTCTGTGGCTCAGGATCTGTGGCTGGAAGGTTGCCGGTTCGAATCCCACAGCCGGCAGAGGAATCCTACTCTGTTGGGCCCCTGAGCAAGGCCCTTCACCCCAGCTGCTCCAGGGGCGCCGTATAAATGGCTGACCCTGCGCTCTGACCCCCAGCTTCTCTCCCTGTGTGTGTGTCTCATGGAGAGCAAGTTGGGGTCTGCGAAAAGACAAATTCCTAATATAAAATATTTGTATATGGCTAATAAAGTGATCTTATCTTATTTCACTCACAGTAAAGTCCATGAAACCCAACACAATGATGGAGAATGCAGTCAGACAGTCATTACTGTCAGTTTAGCATGGTGTATGGATGTAGGGCTGACGTTCCTTCTGTCGGACGTACAGAGTTTGAGGCAGTCCTGAAAGTTCAGTATAGCACTGTTTTAATAGCACGTTACTCTATCCATGTTACTGTACCATACTTTCAACACGGACCATTGGGCTGCTTTCAATACAGTGAACCACTCGGTCTTTACTGAACTTCAGTCCGGTCTTAAAGGTTGGGTGAGCCTGTTGGTAAAAGTATTAAACTGGTTTTGATTCCACCGACTGCTGTGGTATACGAATATACTGTTTAGACTAATTAACTATCGCATGTAGTTTGTAAATATGTAAACCTTCACTGTCGTAAATTTAATTCATTGATTAATCTCTAAAACTGTTAAAATTACAACATCAGTCTTACTGGATGCCCCAAACTTCTCTACAGCCACACTTCTAACTGGAAAGCAGTCTCGATTGTGGGTTCTCTTTAACAATGTTATAAAAATTGTATAATAATAATAGTAGTTTGGATAGCTGTGACTTTGTGTTAGATCTATCAGTCAAGCCTAACTGACGACTCCAGCTACACATTTCAGCCGAGGTCGCTAATGGGACAAATAAGAGCACACGTTACTACTGTGTTTGCACCTCCACACAGAGCAAAAACTGGCTTTATTTTGAAAGAGGTCCAGGGAGTATCCGGACAGCTCCAGGTGCCTTCAGCCTCAGTAAGCACGCTTGTCCAGGAGACACCATCCCTTTGTATATGTGTGGGACCGTCATCCAGATCATGTTAGACAGAGGTTTCTAACTCCTGGAGGGTCTAACTTCCACACAACCCGCCGTTACAGTTGAACTAATTACCGAGTTAATTTCTAACCAGACTCTGAGGTGTTTTCTAGGTCTCTGTACCTTTACGGAAGTGATGGCCTGGAGAAATCAGATGTACAAGACCTTGCGAAAAAGGCTCAGAGAAAACAGCAAGTTCAGACAGCTGGTTCGCTCTCAGAGGTTTTTAAACTATCAGATTTTCTTGTTTTCAACAGCTTATTTTGTAATTGGTTTATGTTTGTGGCAGCCTATGATCGGAGCCACGCAAGGCGCTAGATGGAACAAGCTTGTATATGTGCTGCACTGGAACAAGTTATAAGTTTATTCCTGCTGGAAGAGAAGAAGGGAAACAGTGTTTCGACTGTGGAGCCTTCATCTTCTTCCACAGCCGAAACGTTGTGTTTCCTTTCTTCTCTTCCAGCAGGAGGAATAAAGGCTTCACTTGTTCCTGTGCAGCACATGCCTGCTGACGCAGCTCCCGACTCGAACCTGTGCCGCACTGCCCTGCAGTGACTCGGTGCTGTTCAGGCTGGCCCTCCAATGAGCCAAACCACACCACTGACAGCCACAGCAAGACCAGAGAAATGCGTCTGACAACAAGGGGTTTATATTAGAGTCTGCAGAGCCGCAGGCAGCACTTTCCTGGGACTGAGACACATGCTGGGGTCATGAGACTGATCACGGCTCTGCTTACCATCCGAGTTGTCTCGGTAAAGGGGAAGGTGTATTATAATCTTTTAACTCCCCCCTTCCCCCAATTTGCCTGGTCACCCCCCAAACTGGTATGACTGGTTTGGCTCTCCCAATTATAAACAAGGGGGAAGTGTTCTTGTTTCATTCGGCGCTGAAGTAAGTCGTCTTGAAACGAAAGCCCGTTGTACAGCAACACAGCTAGTTTCTTGAAACACACTCACACACCTGTGGGTTCTACCCGGGACCCACGCACAAGCGCGCTCCCCAGTGGGGGGGAACACCCACAGCGCCGAGACCAGCGGCACCTGCGGAAGAGCGGAAGGCTTCCCGTCTCCTGGCGTTCACCTGTGTCCTTACCTGGTTAGTGGAGCCGTTCTTGGCGCCTGCCTGTCCTCCGGCTCCGGCTCCGGCTCCGGCTCCGGCACCGGCACCGGCACCGTCCTTCTCCTTGTCCGCGATTCTCATGGCGCCCGGAGTCCGTGCGCTGCGCCTCGGCCACGGCTCTGTGCCTCAGTGCGGGCGCTTCCCGGACCTCCCTCGGTCTCGCCTCCTCCACGCCCGGCCCACAGAGAAGCCCGGCCCGCTCGGAGGGTGTGGCGGTAGGAAGAGAGGGGAAGGTAAGAACAGAAAAAGAAAATCTTCGAAATTCAAACTAAGAGTGACGATGATAGAGGCGCACAGGGCAGGAAGAGTTGTTCACCGAGAGTCTGTCGCTCTCACAAGAGGAACTGATGACAATAAAGCAGAATTAACGGTAATACCTGACAGTGTCAACTGCTTTGATGTAGTACAGCGTTATAATTCCTAATAAGCTGGGTAATTAGACAGCAATGCCGACTGTCGGATGAGGAAGCGGAAGAATTATTCCGACCTTCCTCTCACCTAACCGTAACCCTTTAGTTTATATAAAGCCTCTGAAAGTGTTCTCAAAGCGCTTTAAGGTAAGAAAAAATTACACAATAACACTAAGGGTTTGGAATACAGCAGGAAAGCAAAGGGGCAGCCGACACAGAACCAGATAAAAAAAGGGTTTGAGTCTGGATTTGAAAGAGCTCAGGGGGGAATAGAGGTCCAGAGTTTTGGGGTGCAGCTGGAGAAGCCCTGTCACCCCGAGGGTGCAGGCGGGCTTGGGGGGCAGATAGGAGACCAGAATCAGATGAGCGAAGGTTTCGAGATGGGGAGTATAAAAATAGTAATACGTTCAATTAACTTAACTTACTTTTTACTAGTTTAATACACCTTTTCACTGTGTGAAAATATCGCAGAACACTTGTCCAGACCATTATGACAGTAGTCTTAACTGACCAGTACATATTTAATAGATTATTTCATCTTTAGTTAATTAGTTTGTACGCTACTTTCCACCAGTACTGAAAGATGACAAATGAGCAACGGAGGACCCTAAGGAGCACCAGTCCGGGCTGCGTTTCTCGACTCCGTGCCAGACCCCCTCAGCAGTGCCTGGGCAGCGAGAGCAGCCCTGTGCTTTCTGATCATTCGCTCCCAGACAGCTGGCGGGATGAAGTCTCGGTGCTGGACGCTGAGTGTCCAGGGGTCAGTCCGGCCAATGAGAACCAGTCAGAGCGATAACCGGGCCAGGGGATGTCCTGTCACCGTGCCCCTCTGCTGCCGGACTCTTTTCCACCAAGCCTTGGCTTTCAGCAACGGAAATCCAACGTGCTGGCGCGGTCTGTGGGATACGGAGCCGTCCCATCTGGAATCTACACCGCACGCGGGGAGGATCCGGAGAAACTCGCCTGGGTCCACCTACAGTGTCCCGGCTTCACATGTTGACTGGAACAGACCTTGCCGAGCGTAACGCACAGACGTGTTGTGTATCTTTGAACAAAGATCGTCTCGATCCCAGACACATTATATCTGAGCATAAATCAGAATTTTGACAATCCGTTCTGCTAGGCTGTTTAATGACGCAGTGCTGGAAGGTATTTTACATTCTTCTTCCATGTCTGCTTTTTGTGAATACAAATGTATTTTTAAACGACCGAAAAAAAAAATACAAATGTTTAAATAGAAACAATGTTCTTATCTCATCCCCCACATCCCTGCTCACACTGACACCTGAAGATCTAGTCTACTGATCACCTCCTCCACACTCCTGCTCGTGCTGGCACTACTGCAGCCACATGTATTGCATTGGGTGGATTAAAAATCAATAAGGAGAATTTCTTTATTAAGAATTGAATCATTTCTGTTCTTCTAATCTTGAGTTCATCTGCAGTCTGTGTCCCGGAACAGAAAACACCTGGGGACAGCCATTGTATACCAGCCCTAATTAAGCTCTTCAGAGGCTCTTTTGAATATTTTTTTTCCCCTGCAGGTAGGTTCAGTTTAAACACTGTGTCCACACTTCCTGCACCGCTGTACACAAGCTGTGTGCAGGCTGCAATCGGGGTGCAGCATTCCTCGCTGACACTCCCTCCTCTCTGTGTGAAAGGTTCCTGCGCTGTAGGCAGGCCCCCCCGCCCAAGCTCAGGTCTGGACATGGACATGAAACACTAGACGCTGAAGAGAACCCGCCTGTCTTTCTGAGGAAGAGGGAAAGCAGCAGGAAGGGGTGTGAATAGATCTGCAGTCGCCACACCGAGAGACTCCACTGCTCTCAGAATCGACTGGTAACCCCAGTGTAAAAGTCAGTGCAGCTGGGGGTAAAATGACTGGCTCCCACATTCAGCTCACAGACCATAGATTTATCCCAGCAAGCAGCAGTACAGACTCTTCCACAGAGACCTCTGCAGCTGTACACAAAAACACTGGCACCAGTGTGAAATTTCTGTACACGTAAGCAGTCCTGGTCCTTGAGGTCTGTGTGTTTGCAGGTCTCCACTCCTCCATGACCCAGTCAGAGCTCCAGGCAGGGATTCCAGTCCTGGTCCTGCAGGTCTGCAATGACTTTGTAAAACCGCAGAGCCCTTCAGCACCAGGGGTGGACAGGTGTTCAAGAAAGGCTTATCATTTCACTCTGCACACGACTTTCATTAGCAGTATTTTACTTGTATCATTAAGTTGCTCAAGGTGAGGATTGTGATAGCGCCATCCTCTTTATACTGTGCCAGTTGTTAGTTTGAGGGTCTAGATACTTGCCATCAGCAGTTCGTCCATGAAGCCCACTGGTCTGGCAGCTGGTCAGCTGTCCCTGGGTCCTGGGGTGACCCCACAAGAGAGTATTTCCCCAGGGGTGTCAGAATAATTGGACAGGAAATCAGAAAATGGTTCTGCTTTTATCAACAAGCTAATAAGGTCCTGGATGAAGGCACACCCATATTATAGTGTTCAGATGTGTTTTGCATGTTTGTTACAGGCAGACAGGCTGTTGGCCAAGACGCCATGCTGTGTGAAATGGGTTTGGTTGCTGTCAGCTGTTGGCTAAGCCCTAACTTCACCTTGTGATCTGAGTAAATGCAACTTCAGGTGTGGAGATTTCTTAGGTAAAACAACAGCTCTTTGATGTAACTCTGGCTCTGCTCACAGACCCCAGGAGAGCATCGCTGTGGCTGCAGGATGGCAGCTTCGCGTGCCACAGCTTTCTGAAACAGAACAAGCCCAGAGGACACCGGAGAGGGACTTTAATTACCCGGAGAGGGCAATGTCACTCAGTTTACATACAGTTTCTCCCCCTGGATTGTGGTGGATTCCAGTAATAAATTATCATTCGTGTGACATATCTCAAACCGTGGGAACGCTAAGAACTGAGCTGGCCTCCACCCTGTTTTAACTGCAGTGCAGAAATCCAGTCCTTTGTGCGCTGCAGTCCGGCTGTATAACCTGACGCCAGCGGCTTCCAGGAACTGAACAATAGCATGTTTAGATCACCAGGCTGAAACACAAGGCGCAATTCCTGCTAACTGCGGTCTGGCCTGCAGCCTGACGACAGAAGAGCAGCTCGGGTGTGAACGGCGTCTGACGGGCCGTGCTGAGCCGGGAGAACAGGCAGCGCTCTGTGTAACCTGACCCCGCGCTCTTCCACGGTGTGTGCGTGTCACAGCAGGCAGGCAACATGCAGAATCATGTTCTCTACCTGCAGATCATCGCTGGGTCTCCGCGGTCCGAAAAGAAATATTGTTCTTTTCGATACAGCTATTATTGTTTTATTGCTTTTTCTGCTTTGTCTGCTGTGTTTCACCCTGGACCCGCTGGTGTGAAAACTTCCACAAAATTTGTTCCGTCTTGTCTCGCCGAGGTCCGTCGCTCCCGCCGCCCACAGACTCGCCCTGATTGCGACACCGGCAGGCGAGGAGCGCAGCCAGTGAAACCCCAGCTGAGCTCCCCAGAGCAGCGCACAAATACCATCTCTTTGCTACAGATGGACTAAATCAAGTCAGGACTACCTGATTGTCCCTCTGTCTCAGTAACACAGCTGCCTCTGCCGCAGCGGCGAAGGGGACGCCGTGTGAGCGACAGCGAGGAGAAATCACCCTGAACACGTGTGACGTGACGTTGGTAGCTGAAGGTTTACAATGTTACTTTTCTACAGCAGCCCCCAGTGTCTCCCGTGGGTGAGCTGACAGGGGTCGTAGGGTACTCAGTTGCTCCTTCACAGCACTTACCTGACCCTGCAGAGAGCCCCCCTCCCCAGAGGGGTTCTGACAACTAGACAGTGGTGCATTAATCAGTGTCGCGTGGGGGAGGCTCGTCTCCCTGCGTGCAGAGACACCCCCCGCTCGCCCCTGCTTGGCCAGGGCTGTGGATGTCAGTACAGAGGTGTGTCTGTGTGTGCACGCCGGCCAGGAGCTGCAGCTTGAGGTCAAACCGCCGCTCACCGCGGCCGTCCGGGGAGCCGGCCCACTGCTCCGCCCCGCCCAGCTGCACGCCGGGGTCTCTCTGCCTCGTGAGAAGCTCTGAATTATTTACCCTGTGCTGAGGGATTCCTGGAACAGGGCAAGTTGCAGTCAGAGTAAAAAAAAAAACGCGGCTGTTCACGTGTGCGGCTGCCCCGCCGAGCGGAGGTGTGGCGGGTATTTACTTCCTCAGCGGCTTCTGGAGGCCGGTTCCCAGGAGTCAGGCCAGCACCACACGTCACCACAGGGGGGCAGCAGAGACTCGCGGCCGCACAGGCTTAATCCCAGTACAACCATCTAACCATGGACCTCTAGTGCTCGTCGGTGAACTCATAGTCGTATTTTTATTTTCTTATTGAGATCTGTAGAAACAGTTCCTCCTGTCTTTCCTTCAGTGGAATATGTCTTCCGTGTGACACGGAGAGTGTCTATTTTCCGTGGGACCTCATGAAGCAGCAGCTCTTCTATAGGGGATTCGGCCTGGATTTCATGTGAACGAGTTCTGCTTTCCCTTCCCTTCTCATTCATGACTCATTCATTCAGGAATAAGATCTTGTTTCTCTCTTTTATTTCTTTCACTCCGATTGACCCCCCTCCCCCCCACCTGCCCCAAACACCCCTCCTGCAGTGCCTCCTCCGGCCACACAGTGGCAGTCTCAGTTTCCAGGCTCATCAAAGACATTCGCTACCGTCCTGCAAGAGAGGAGCGGGCCGTCAGCAGGGGAAGGGAGCTCGTTGAGA